TGGCACTGCCATGTATAGTTTTATGCCATAAAGCCACATGGGTTAATCTTTTTAAAATCCTACTGTTGACTTTTAAATCGTTAAATTGTTTAAGTCTTAGCTATATTCATGATTTGTTGCAGACTTACAAGCCATCTAGGAGTTTACAATCATCAACCATGAACTTGTTAGTGACACCTAAATCAAGGTTAAAATTTTATGGTGATCGTGCTTTTTGGGTCTGCACTCCTAAACTGCATATAAAATAATTATAATTTAAATCTTACATCTTTTAAGAGCAACCTTAAAACTTATCTTATTAAGCACTATTTTAATTTGTAGTTTTGCTTTAAATATTTTTTGAATTTATTATTTTCCAAGTTACTGCTTGAAACATCTTATTGTAAAGCACTGTAGAGCTCTTGAATAGGGTGCTATAGAAATTTTTGTATTATTATTATTAATCTTAATATAGAATAAGATTTATTCTATTGTACTCCTGGCAGTCAATGAAGAAGGTGATGATGGCAATGACCAAGGTGTAGTCAATCCCTTTTCATTCAAGAATTTCCTCTCAGATGACCTGGCATCAAGAAATAAGCGTGTGTTGCAGGTAATATTTAAATTATGTTTGGCCAGCCAATAGCCTATGATAGTAGCAGGTCTTGTATATCAAGATGACTATAATTTACCTAATCCTATCACTTTTGATACAAGCACTTGGTGTTTTGTGGTATTTCATTGCTTTTCATATAGAAAGTGTTTTAAAGCTACTGGTGTATTTTTTTCTCATATGTAATTTTGGTTTATTAATGTATTTCTTATCACTCTTAAATCACTTCTTTGCTACTCAAACCTTCATGAGATTTCCTTCTTTTCACAAGTAATAGGAAACTGTTTTTGGGATAAGTTTTTGATCATAAAATTTTTAAGTCTCCTTTTACAGCGTGTAGTGAGTACGAAGATGGTGAAGAATCTTAAAGTTTGTTGTGTCATTTTTATGTTGTTTTTATAGATAGTTGATGATGAAGTACGTGAAGTGAACACAGATCAGGATAATGGAAAAAGAAATGTAGGAACTGATCATGTTGTACTCTTTGGTTGGTCTTGGTTTAAAATATAATAATATATTTTCTATTATTTTTGTAGATCATTGACTTGATTATTTTTGAAATTAATTAAAGGTGATGATTTTAGAAATGGAACAAACACACTTTCAATATTCAAAGTTCTTTTATTTGTGTTTGAAATATATAGGGAACCAAAAGTCAAGAATTAAACAGGGAAACTGCTGCCCAAAGTGACAGTGGCTCAGAGACAGAGGATGAGAGTGAGTTAACAAGTAGCCTTGAGTCACCAATGAGTGGGAGTATCAACTACTTTGTAGCTTCTCTAGACAGCTCTGAGACTCAAGAAAAGATCATTGAAGAAATGAATCAGGTTAGACACAACTACCTTCAGGAGAGTATTTAACACTTTTTGGCCAAAGTTTCTCATCCTGCGTAAAATATAAGACTAACTTTTAGTATGAGTTCAAATAACACTTGTTTTAACCACATGCAATATTACTTTGAATTTAATTAACATCTGCTCTGTGACTTTCAAAACTTAAATTATGATTTTATTATTAATCATAACCAATACAATTTCCTCAAATTAATGTGATTGGTGCATGATCTGCTTTATTTTTCTCTAACCATTCTGTAAAGTCGTAATCAGACAGAGTAATCAAACAGTTGGCTGTAATCCTACACTTGTAATTGGACAGTTGAAGCAGCCAATCATACTCAGTCCTTTCAGCCAAATCCACCAATCACAGAATTGATCACAATAACCATAATAGCAACAACCACCTATCCTAAGAAAAGCTAATGGAATTTCCAAAATTGAGGAATTTTTTACTTTTGACATTGTCTCTACCAGAGATATTTGTCTTAAATGTATTTGTTGTTTTCAGAAATTGTAACAGTTTTTATTAATTGGAGATTAATGTCCAAGTCTGTTGGTAATCATACTTGTGATTGACAAATTTGACTCCAGTTTTGTGGTTGTCCAATTTTCTTAATCACTTGACTGTATGATTACAGACTGAATTGGACTCCACTTGGCCCTGTTACCATAATGATTAGTAATCAGCCACAGAAGTTCCTATGCATTCCATTTGGCCATTCATTTAATTTGGGTATTCTGCAGAAAAAAGCCCTCCTCTGTTTATTTTCCATGGTAGAAATCATGTAACTGAGAGGAAAAACCTACTGAATTCTGCCATTACTCCCGGAGGGCAGTAAACACTTTCAGAGTATAACCGTTGATCCAAAATTTTCCATGTTATCTCCACAGTTGAAAGAGGAAAATGAGAAACTGAGAAGAGAGTTACAGGAATCCAACCAAACTGTGGATAAAGAAAAGAAGAGGTGACATGAATCAGCTAAAAAATATGTATTGGTAGTCATGTAAAAAGGCACTGGGAAGGTAAAGTTTCTTGCCCAAAAATTAATAACAATTTGGAATAACACATTTGTGTCATATGTTTTCTCTACCAGAATTATAAGTTTGCAAAAGAAACTTGCAAAGATTGAGAAAAGAGAGGCAGATGAAACTGCAGCTTTAGAAAATATGGTGCAAATGGTGGAGAAAAATTTAGAATTGACTACGGTGAGAGGAATGCAAGACTTTTCTATAGAGGAATTAGCTTGTAGTTCAGACAACTCTGTTGGATTTTATTTTGATTGCATTACTTCACATGCTTCACAGTTGGCATGGTATTACATTGAAATTCTCATAGTGATTCAGATTGTGTCAGAATGAAAAGTTTTTATAGGGGAATGTAGGCTATGAAATAGGGTTTGCTTGTTAATAAGACTACAAGATGATATCATTTTAAAGAATTGACAACGACAATATTTTCTGGAATTTGGTAGACCTACAAAGGGGAGGCTAGTACAACATTTTGATAGCAGTGATATAGATTTGAAACATGTCTTATACAACTTTTTAATTTATTGGTTAGGCTTCTGATGCATTTGGTGCAAATCTGTTATCTTACTTACCTTCTATTCTGAAGATAGCTAAAAGTTAATATTGATAATTATATAAATTTGATAAATCCTAAAATATGTCAGCCCACAATATATAAAAAAAATTATTGCCAATAAGTATTAAAACACTATCAAAAGGGTTTCCTTCTATTACTGACTAAGGATATCACGCTGATCTTTTAAGAATATTAAATAAGCTAGTCCTCATAAACTTGTTTGAGTTGAAAATTCATTGTATTTCCATCTATATCTGTTGTTATTTTACAGCAAAGAGCTCTCAGAGCTGAAGCTACAGTTGCAAAATTGATGGAAGAAGTTAATATATTAAAGGTTTGGAAGAAGATTCTTAATTTTGTTGCTACTTATTAGCTAATAATATACCTGAAAAAATTTCTTGATTTTGATTAGCTAAGAGAAATGCAGCTTCAAGTATCACTGTGTGGAAAATAGTAATTCTTTGTAAAAAAAGAACACAAACTGTTAACAAGGTATTTTAAAAACTGTTGATTGTTGTTTGATTTGTTTCAAACAAACACACAATGATATTTCCAAGGTTTTAATGAACTTTTACGTATTATTTATCAATACATATTGCATATTTTTCATGCATATAGTATTTCCTTGAATGTTATATAAGCACCCATGCTCTAATGAGAGTAAACACTTACTGTCTAGACCATAATGGCAAACAAGCACCAGGCCCTGGGAATAAGTGCCCCCCCCTCCCCTCTCTTCTGCCACTTTGTTAAATAGTAGGGAAAAAGGAAAATCTGTTTTCTATCTTTATTTAAAACTATTTAAGCCTCAACTACAGAAAAACTTTGAAAAACTTACATGAGCTTGTTTGTTCCAAATTGTACTTGAAATTAAGGAATTCACCATTCTAATTATTGACTAGCAATCATTTTTTTTATGTCATTTTTAACATTTGCGACCTTCCATGAGCTAACTTGCATCATAGTTACCTAAAACAGCAAGTTAATTAACTTGGATATGTAAAATAATTTCAGTGCAGAATGTTCTTAACAATAAGTCAGATGGGGCCAATGTTTTGGTCTTTGGTCAGACATGGAACAAAATCTATGAAGGTTAGATTATCTTTGATTTACCTCTACATATAGCTTACAATAATTTTTCTGCTATCTTTCATCAGACAGAGTCTGTTCCCATAGCAACATATAACCAGCTGTTAGATGCCAATCATTATACAATGACAGCTGTCAAAGATAAATCAAAAGCTGCTGCTGATCAGATGAACATAGCAGCAAAAAATGCAGAGCAAGCAGTAAGGTGTGTGACAACTGATTATTTTTGTGAGTCAATGATAATAATTTTCCCTGTGCAATTGTTTATGTTGGCATTCATCTAGTTATGTTCAGTTTTGTAATGAGATTTGCAAGAATTTGAATACTTCAAGTTGAACACATTCTGTTTACATCGGGTTGTACATTTGGATCAATATCAGTGTCTAGGCAACTACCCACCTACCCCTCCCCTAACCCAACATTAACCCTAAATTGTTTTCAATTGACTGTTGTTGAGTTAGGGGAGGGGTAGGTGGGCAGTTTCCCAGATAAGGATATGATCCATACATTTTAGATAATCAAGATGTGCTAGAATTATCATTGTTAAAAAATGCATCCTGACATGGAATTTTACTAAATAATTTATTGTTCATTTTTGGTAAAAACAACTGCAATATTTAACTCTGTTAGCATATTTTAAAACCATAAATGTTGTGCTAAGGACATGAAGAACAGTCCCTCTGTATCATGTATCTCACACACATCTGTGCCCTTGTAGGGTAGAGCAATGTGTAATTTATATTTCAGTGAATCATTTATCACTGTTCATTTGTTTGCTTTCAGGCAACTGCTTACTGGAGTGGACACGCTGAAGTTCATATCACAACAGCTTGAGTCTATTGATAGAATAACAGATGTTCATGTTCATTCAGAGAAGAGTTAACCCTTTACACCCTAACATTAGTATCCATATTTTCTTGACTCTTTTCTATACATTTCCTTTGGTACTGACAAGGAGTACTTGTTTAAAAATCAAAGCTTCTTAGCTTGGTGATCATTTTCTTTATTCTCATGATTAAAGGAAGAAAAACAACCAAAAAACTGCCTACCTCCCATGTTAATACTCTGATTGTTTTGTATTTTTCTAAGAAAATTGATGGTATTTAAATGTGTTGACTTTTGATAATGTAAATAAGGAAATAAAAATTCTGGGAATTGGAGTTCTTATGAGGTAAACAGAGGATTAAATGTTGTACATGTATACTAAGTTAGAACATGCAGGATACCTCTTAACACAAAGAAGGATGGCTTTTAAGTAATTGTTTAAATTTTTCCTCAAGTGATCCGTCAATAGCTGTTAAAATATAGACAATCTGTTGTGAAGAAACATATTAGTGATGCTCAAAAGTATACATAAAAAAGAAAATCCCCATGCCTCTTCTAGTTGAAAATTCTGTCTAAATGTGTAGACTGTTTTGAAAAAAATATGTACAGCTGTAAATGAATGAATTAAGGTGATATGTTGAATAGAGTTTGTGTTCTATCATTCATTAGCTGATAAACATGTAAAGTACTCCTTGGAGAGCAATGCCTTACAGGGAGGTTTGATACTGAAATGAGATAAAAATTTCCTCCTGTTAAATCTAATTTATATTTAACCACTTTAACCCAAGCATGCACAGCTGTTAGATTCTCACAGTGATGATCAGTGGTACTTTGATTCATCGCTTCCACAGAAATTTCAAGTGGTTATGGTAACAGTTCAAAGTATGGGGGGGATTGTTAGCTTTGTACAAGTTAGGCATTCCTAGGATCTTATATTCTACTTCAATGGGTGATTACATGCTGATGCCAATGGCAACATTTGTTTATAAAAATATGAAATTTCACTGTAATACTTGCTTTATATTGTAAAAATAGGTGTGGCAATTGTCAAACATAACTACAATCAAATTTCACTTCAGGGGTCAGTTACTACTACAGTTGCAAAATAAGCCTCTGTAGATAGATTATTATTTTCAAAACCACTTCAGATTTTGGGTTAAGGATGTGACTATTCATTCCTGCACAAATCCTTGCACTTTCACCTATTTTACAACACACACATGTCAACATGTTTGCAGAGGTTCATTATGCAAGCTTGCACCAAGGTTATCAATGTTACTAGCACATATTACAAGCTTGCATATACAAGAAGAAACTTGATGCTGTAATACACCAAAAAGTCAAGTCTGTTTTATAATTAAGAAATTAGCCAGACCCTTTTTGAGACTCTGTCAAAAATTAACTTTGGCAAGGTCATAACAGTGTCAACTTTACAGGTTTCACTGTATCTATTGTTACTTTTCATTCTCATTTAGCCCACATGTGAAGTGGTCAGTGTAAAAAGCAGACTCAGTTCTTTAGTAAAAATTTATTAACGTTTCTGGTTTCTCTAAATGATTAAACTTAAAAGGAACTTGAGACTTCTACTTGCTCCTAATTTTTTCCAATTTAAGGCAGACTCCACCATTTTTCCAGTGAATAAAAACACGTCACGGCAAAACTTAATTTACTAAGCATCCCTTGTCAACCAAAAGGAAGCCCAACATAGGGTAAATTGACTGTGATAACTGTAGATTTACCACTGGTTAAAACTGAGGGGAAACACCAAGTAGAATTAGGAAGGCAAACATCTGGGGATATTGTTTAGAGGTTTCTAATTAGACCCTTATCTCACACCCATAAATTTGCATTAAATTAAAAGAATTTGCACACCTAACTTCACATCCCAAAACAAAGGCATGAGAAACAGGTTTTTATTGTTCAAGTAATCAAAATTGCCAATGTATAATGAAAGTCTATCACTACTACTTTCAAAGCCAAACAAAGTATACCTGAGCTACATGTACGTTAAAGCAACCTAATGTTGCTCAGCAGAACTGGTTTGGGAAATGTATTTAGCTGGCTTTGAACTGCACATTCAAACACTTGCATTTCTTGTTCTTACCTTAAATAATATTTCAAGGCCAAAACTATCTGAGGAAGTGAAGTTTGAAACATCAATCTCCATGAAGATTATTGCCAGCCTGTCAGGACTTACACAGCCTTGATCCAGCTCACTCTTGAAGTTTTTCCAGGGAAGCAGGTTCTTTTAGAACCAAGTCTGCATTTCACCCCTGGTCTGCAGTCTTCAGTCTGCATTTCACCCTCAGTCTGCATTTTACCCCTGGTCTGTTCTGAAGTGCATTTTACACCAACTACATTTCTAAACAAATAGAAATATTTCTCAAACAGGTTTGAATAGGGTTTTCTGAGGAACTGAGTGGAAACTGGGTGTAGCCCTGCTCTGCATAGGTATCTCTGTTTGTGAGATTTCCACCCCCAACATCTCATTAGCAATTCTCCCTACTGTCTGCCATACAATTCTTATAATGTTAGCTCAAAGAATTTGGTATTGGATCAACTAATATAGCCCTAATGAACATTTTCTTTATTCTCATTACTTGTCTGCTTGATATTGTATTGACATTGTAGGGAGAAATTCTGTCTTTGTCAGTTATAATAATTAAAGGGTTTTAAAAAGAGATTAAAAGATATGTTCCATTAAAGTGTTTGGACACAGAAATTCTAATTACCTGCTTTTTCAAAAAAGTTTGTAGAGATCAAAAACATTCTTTCAAAAATGTGGAAAGTTACATTTTGATTCCAAAGTCCTGCAAAAATCATGAAAACTGGGAATGAAATTGAATAAAAAAAGAGAGTAATTCTCAAGTGTTATAATTTTTCTTAGCTGCAATAAGTGGAAATCTTTGTGAGGTTTCCTTGTCTCTTCTCCCTCTTAGCCTCTGCCTGTAGAATTCATTTCTTTTCTCTGGTTTCTTTTCTGTTATTTAATTTTTGTGTGTGCTGAGGTCCACTGATTTCATAAATATTTCTTTAAAAAAAGGCTGATAGGTGTCCTTAAACTGGCCAGGAACCTACTCAAGGAGATACGTTACATTGATTTCATGTTACTTGCATTATACACTTCCTTAGGTGCTTTACTGAGAATTTAGGATTGAAACTGACCAATCATAAAGTGACAAAGTTTCCCAAGAGGTACAAGGTTTGTTTGTTCTCTCTTCAGGAAGCTTTATGTTTTTATTTCAATGTTATTATTCGTTTACAGGAAAAAAAGAAAAAACATTCCTTGTTCTCAATAAACATGTTCATTGGTTCATTTTTCTTCATT